CTGAGGAGTGGCTGGTGGGTTTGAACCGCCAGCCTTCTGGTTAGGAGATGGAATTAAATAATCACAGAAATATATGATTACAATTTGAGAGGAGGAATGTTAAGGTGAATGATGTGATGTGATGATATAAATGGGATTTAGGGGTCCAGGTAAGGCATCTCTGAGGATGTGACATTTATACTGGAACTAATAGAAGTAATAGTGGTGAGGAAAAGGGTGTTCAAGAGCGGGAAAGTCTTGCTCATTTAAGAGCTAAAAGGAAAGCCTGCCAGGAGCACACAGACTAGACTGGTTACAGTAAAGGTCAGCACTGCTCTCTTTAGGAATATGGACTGTATCATAATGATCAAGAGGAAGCTATTAAAGGCAGGGCCATGATCAAGTTTGCCTTGTGGCAAGATCATCCTGATGCTCTATAATTAACAGACTGGGTAAAGTCAACTAGGAAAGAGGCTGTTGCAGTGGTCCAAGAAGAGGCACTGGCTGCTTAGATGGTGGCAGTGGAGCCATGGAAATGTAGGACAGAGTTTTGTGGAGGTGGAGCTGACAGGACTTGGTGAACTGAATGTGGGGGCAAAGAAGTCTACACATGGGCACCATCAGGAACATTAAGCACAATAATCAAAGATAATTTACCAGGAGCAATCTACTTCCATAGAGATGCCACCTCGGAAACTCAAGGAGGGGTCGCCATGAGTCGGATTCAACTCAACGGCAGTGACCTTGGTTTTCGGTTTGGACTATATGAGGGCTCTCAGGTGAAGGGGCAAGTGGGGGCAAAAGTCCAAACCACACTCAGCCTGGGGAATGGGATCTGCTTTCTCTCTTTTTTTCTTGCTTTATTTATCACAAAGATCCTAAAAGGATTTGGGTTCCAGACTCGGGTCACTTCTACTGCCAACTCACCTTGATATCAGGGTGGTGCTGTGTCCACACAGAAGAGTGCCTTTTCTACTGGTTATTCACAGAAAGATACTGTATGCTCACCAAGCTTTGTGTCTGGCGACCTTGACTGCACATTTACATTTGTTGAGAAAGCTACCAGGAGACCCTGTGGGGATTATGGATGTAGATTTAGTCCCATTACTTCCAGAATGTAAGACTCAGTCTGTCCCATAGAACTACCATACTTAGAACTGCTGCAATCTGACCAAAATTCCTGGTTGCTGAAGCACCCAGCAGACTCTGACAAATTATGGAGCCAACACCCCCCTTTGGTGATAATTCATCAATATATTTAAAATAGTTCCTTTCTGCAGCAAGGACTCTCTTTCTAGAGGTATCCTTGGTTTCCTATGATACTCTCAGAACAATAAAGTATAAAATGATGATAAATGAGGTTAGTTGCTATAATCACTCTGTAGGTGATCTGGACATTGCTGCAACATCAGCCAAGGCAGCCAGTGTTTTATGTTAAGGGCCTCAGCTGTGAGGGGCTCATGGGAATCCCTGAAGTCAAGCTGGAGGTCTGGAGGGAGCACAAGGCAGCACCAAGTCAGTACAAGAACCTGCCCAAACAGCAGAGTGACTCCAGGAAGCACTAGGAAGAGCCAGGGGCAGCCCAGAGATACTGGACAGAATTACCGTGCTTTGCGTAACACAACCCCATGATCTGGTTAAAGCATTCGGCTGTTTACCAAAAGGTCAGTGGTTCAAACACACCAGCCACTCTGTGGGAGAAAGATGCGGCCATCTGCTTCGGTAAAGATTTACAGCCTTGGAAATCCTGTGGGGCAGTTCCACTATGTCCTGTAGGGGTCACTCCGAGTTGGAATCAACTTGACGGCAGTGGTTTGGTATTCTGGATTCGCACAGCACCACGTTCATTTCCACTCACAAAACAAAGCTACTTTCCCAGCCCAAAGGAGAAGCCCATCTTAGATCTCACTCCAGGGCTCCACTTCTCTAGTTCTGTTGTTGGCCCTTATAATCTAGAGGCCACCTACCCCACCAGCTTGAAATTCCATGACATTTTCACAAAGGGGAGAGGTGACTTTGAACAAGTCTACCTCCACATTCACCCTTTTCCTTCCCATTCCCAAAAAGCTATAATGTACAATATCCCTGTTTCAATAGGGGGAATAGAACAGTTCTGTTCAGTTTACTTTTGGCCACTCAATCTTACTGAGCCCCCACTTCGCCACAGTCCAACTCAGGTCCAAAATCTCCATCAGGCCAACCAGATACAGTGGAAGTAGCCCCTTAACCAAAGGCCAGCCTGAGGGTGCATTTACTTTTGCCCCCTTCCTTTCGAATCCTTGGGGGTTCCTCCAAACTGCTTTCTTTGAGCTTCACTTTTTGATGACTAATTCTCTGTCCTCACCTTATCTCTGCATTTCCTTTTCTTCAGGACAAGTGTGGCAGCAGAGCTCCAAATTTTACACTCCCCACCCCCAAATGTAGGACTGTTTTCAGGGAGGAGGTCCTCTCCTCTCTTCACACCTGTTAAGAGTAATAGAACTTAACCTGAAAGTCAGGGTCAAAAAAATTGAAGCTGGTTTCACTACTCCAGGCCATGTAAAAGAACCCTAACACTCAACATATTAAAACAAGATTTTGGCAGTTTTCTTGTTGAAAAAGTTGAAATATACTGCTATTAAGTTTGTGTATGCCAAAGTCCTCTGTCTTTGAAGGTGGTACTGTCATTGAGTCAATTCCAACTCATGTGACAAAACAGAACCACGTCCTAGGGTTTCATTGGCTGCAATCTTTAAGGAGACAGACTGCCAGGTCTTTCTCCTGAGAACTACCGGATGGTTCAAACCACCAGTCCTTTAGTTAGCAGCTGAATGAGTAACTGCGTCTGTGGAGTAGTTTCCAGGCTGACATACTGCTGGGTCTACAGCATTAACTACATACTGCATTTTTAATTCAAGCCAGAATATTGTGTTATGAACTCGGCAAAGGGCATTTTTCATTTGAAAACTGCACCACCCACAGGTCACAAAACTATGTAGTGTATGATGTCAATTTTTTAGGCATATATACATTCACATAGTGTGTATGCATGTGGGTGTCTCTCTCTCTCTCTCTCTCTATATATATATATATGCTTTGAGAAAGAAATGGAAAAAAAATCAGTTTTACTTTCTTGTGTTTCCTAAATTATCTACCCTGAACATGTGCTACTTACATCAACAGTAGGGAGAAATTATACTGGATACCGACACTAACATTTTAAAAACCTATATAACATTCAAACTTCTCATTTGTTTTACAAAGTCCTCTACCATGTCTTCATTTTCATTATACCCACGTTCATCCACTTATGGACAAGTATGATGTTTTCTGTCCACTGTAGCTTCCAGATCTCCGTTGACGATTCTTCTCAAGCACCTCTCAACCCAAGACTTCATGACTTCTGGAAACTCTTCAGACTGTCACCAATGGTTAATCCCATGTTTAACAAGTACCAACAATGTGTGTATAACTGCTTCTTTGTCTGATTACATGACTGTGCTCTGGCTGTTGAGGGCACACACCTGTTCAGTAGGCATAAGGATTTAGCTCTTTTGTGAAAAATATTCAAACATTTTTTTCTCCAAAAGATCACCAAGCCAAACATTTGGCCATGTTTTTATTTACTACATATACTATAAACATATACAATACATGCTACAAAAAAAAAAAACCAAAACATTTTTTTTTAAATTTAACTGTCAAGAAAGTGTATAGTGTTATAATACAATGGCACATGTTCATATTTATTTCAAATTGGTTTGCTTATCACCCATTTCAAACCATTAATAGTGAAATGTTACTTGAGGATAATTAAAAATTATCTATTTGCATTATTAACAATAAACAATTCCAACAAATTAATAAGAATTAACCATGTCAAATATTAGTATCCAAAAAACAGGCTTTTGCAGAAATGATTATATAAAATATAGCAGCCAATTTCAGTTTACTTTGCTCTGTGACAATGTACATATGCACTTGAATAGGATTCTAGTATTTGCTTGTGGAAGATACTTGTAAGTCCTTTGATTTCTTGAGGTCCAACAACTGCCACACACAGCCAAATCCAACCCAACAGTTCATGTAATGGCTCTGGACAAGTGATTATTAAGAAATTCTGATATTTTGGCTAGAGTTGTATGTTCCACTAGTATTACAAAGGATGAAAACAAACATTACAAGCCAATAACAAAGTCAAAGGCAAAAGCAAATACAAACATCCAAATCAGCTGTGACAAGGTTTTTCTAATATTTTAGATGCCATACTTTCAGGAAAACAAGATTTAATGTGTATTTGGATTGTACAGTATCTATGCTCTAACTGAAAATTTAACAGAGCAAGCCAGATGGAATTAAGTCTAGTATCGTAATTCTGTTCCGTCAACATTACCGAGCACCCACTGTGTGCATAGCACTGTGCTAATGTTTTAAAGGTTGAGTACTAATGTCTCTATCAAGCATTACCTTAGTGTGAGGTAAAAAATATATTAAATAGGCGTCATTAGTTTGCTTGCGGTAATTTATATACTCCTGTGCCAGCTGGCTTCCCAGTGCCATATGATGCACTTCTGCACTTCCCTCATTCACTCACACAGACATATGCACACAGAGTGTGTGCCAGCATTGTGCTAGTCACTGGGATACCATGATTTGGTACATGTTCAAAGAATGCAAAATGGTATCAACCTATGCAAAACGATTAGAAAGGTACACTATTTTTCTAAAATGAGGTCCAAAGCAAAACGTAAGGTATCTCTATGGTCATACCACACCACAGAGCAGTAAGTGCCTTTCTAGACTAGCAACTACCTTTGAAAGATTTATGTTGTAGTCTAAATAGCCTAGATCATTTCTGGTCTCAGAAGTCTATTCTTTGGAGCACCTGACCCCATATAAACCATTCCATGCTTAAAAGGGTTGTAAACTAAACCTGAACATAAGCCAAAAAATGAAGGCAGTTTATAATGTAATGTATTTCCAGCACTCTTCTGGCCATGTGAAATGAATAATATATTAGTAATTCATGACTGATTTAGACATTTTTCAAAGCTCTAACCCTACCCCCATATTCATGTAATTCTAACTTGACTTTTATACAAGTTGCACATAAAGCAGAGGGCAGAATTTGGCCCCAAAACCTTCTCTGGAATATTGATTGGTCCTTCCACTCCAAGTGGAATCTAAGAATTCCAAAAGTCCTCTATTAGGATACTGGCACTCAGGAGAAATGGCCCTGCTGGATCCAGTCAGCCAGGAGGCTAACTTCTGTAGCAGTGTGAACCTACTATGACCCCTTGGGGGAAGGCAGAGAGCTGAACATTTGGCTGTCCGCTTAGTGAATCCAATACTGGCTTAAAGCTATGCACTGAGTAAAGTGCTCTGTGTATCCTGCTTTTCATCTGGAATAAAAATATACACTTATCTCAAGAGTTAACCTACTGGTAGGTTTTGGGAAAAAGGATGTCAAAGGTTGAAAGAATCCCAAGAAAAAGTATGAAGCATTGACTAGGAAGGAAGACAAATGCCTCTAGTAGTGTCCTCAGAATTCTCAGGATTTGAAATGTCAGAATGAGTCATACAATAGTCATGTTCTATAAATGAAAAAGCAATCCCATTGGGTACTATTCACACGGTGCATGATTACTTCATGGGGGTGGAAGGGAACAGTCTATTGCCATTTGATAGTATGGTTTCAGAATGAAAAAAACCATCGAGTCTATCAGGGTAAGCAGTAACACTCCTCGCCTGGTTTTCCACAGGTTGGTTTGCATTGCCTCAGAGAAAGGAGATGAGAACACCATTTCCCTCTGATACACAACAGGCATAACCATGACCACCTAAAACTGCCAATTCAGAAGTGAATACACAGCCCTCCAGATTCGTACCCTGAACATGGTGAATTAGACTAGGAATGAAGTAGTTCAGTCTAAAAAAGATCACAGGTAACAGAATGCTTATATAAACTAGACTGCTCTTGACATCTGTAAGAAAACTGTATAGATGGCAGTTGGGGAGGGGGGGGAGATTGTTCTCATGTGTCAGCAAAACTGTTTGTTGAGCTATACTCAGCTGAAGTCCTCATCGGGATTCTGTTGATCCAGCAGACGGACATGTGTGAATGGGAAGTGACCTCGTTTGCCATTACACTCCCCTTCCCACTGACCACTCACATTAATCTTCGTAACCTTTACCAGCTCACCGACCTGCAGGAGGAGAATAAGGAGAGCACTTTATTTCCAGTTCAGAATGCAACCTGAAAAACTCCATTCTCTGGTTAGGCATACCCTGCCCACGTGATTGCTCTAGGGCTGACATTACAGAAATGGCTATTCGCTGCCTCCCCAGCCCCAGCCACCAGACCAGTTACTTGCGGTTAAGCAGGCAGAAGTGTTTTTAGCAGTGCAGAAAAACAAAGGACAGACGCAGTAGAAAAGATCCTAGAAAATGGTACCTTTTTGGAAGTTTCCAGTGTGTCTGGATGGACAATAACCCCAACTAGAGAGAGCTAGTGTTCTTTTTCTTTGCACCCACCACTCTCAACTTCTTGCCTGCACCATAGGTCCTGGCCTAGGGCAAGGGGCCTGCTCTCAATGGCATATAGTAGTGGCACAATCCCCCAGCCAACTTTGGTATACACACTGTTTGCTACTACTTGCATAGCAGAAAGCCACCATGGGAAATAGACTTTTTTTGGTCCTAGAAAATGAAATGTTCCATCACCTTCCCAACAAGGCAAGCCTTTTCCCACATGGGCAGGAATAGTCCAAAATTCTAAATTCTTTCAGCTCCCTCCTAGCCCTATTCCCTACTATGTCTGATGTATGGCAGAACTTGTTGTTCCCTCAATGCTACTTGGCACTTACTTATTACGCAGTGAGGGGACAAAAAATCCCTGTTTTTGCTTCTGTTTAGAAAAACCTTCCTATAAGAACTTCGAATACAAAGTTTTGGCAATATAGGGATACGACTCTACCTTGCTATGAATGAAGTCTCTGACAAAGTCAGTCTGATGAACAGATTCACCACTGTGGCTAAATACTGAACAATGGTGGGATAAGGCCCCAGATGAGATTGCACTAGGGAACTTTCTGACCTTCTTTCAATCATCAACATCCGAGTTCTGTGTATACAAGCATAACTGTTCATCTTGTTTTATTAAATTAATAAACACTTATACTAATCTATAGTACTGTAGAGAGAATTTTATATAAATTATTTCCTAATCCTCATAATAGTCCTGCAAGACAGGAATTGTTCTCATTTTATAGATCGAGAAAACAGGTTCAGGGTGATTACAGGATATAACTAAGATCATACAGCCAGAAATTCAAGCCCGATTCAGAAGAAGACATGGAACGAGGGATATCATTGCTGACGTCAGATGGATCCTGGCTGGAAGAAAAGAGTATCAGA